AGGAGAGGAGGGAGATATGTGATAGAGAAAGGAAAGAGAAGGCTGGAGAGGGAAGGAGTCTCAGGTTCTAATGAAAACTCAACGAGGTGAGCCAACCTGAGGGGACTGGACTTAAAGCAAAGCAGTCTCAGCCTAGGGTAGGAAGTAGGGATGCTGCTGCTGACCATGACACTCAGAAAGTGTGACACATTAATGAAAAACTTTGTTATTGTGATATGAGACAAAAAGGAGACCAGCATCAAAATTGGGTTACAATAAGCACAGATTCTTGACTCATTTTCTCCCTTCATTCACCTAGTTATGTTCTACTCTGTCAGCAAAGTCCTGGGCTAGGCATGGAGGAGCAGAGATATGTGACACAGTCTGTGCCCATGTGGGGTTCACAGTCCAAAGAGGGGAACAGACACAGCAACAGAACGGTTCATCACAAAATGGGGAGTGCTACCAGAGGGAAGTACAGAGGGGCTGTGGGTGTGGAGAGGGCACCTGACAGCAACTGGGGAGGTCAGGAAAGGCTTTCTGGGAACGGTACCCCAAATGACATCCCCACTCACATGCACAATTCCAGAGACTCTACTAGAAAGCTGTCAAGAGCCATGCCTTCTGGCTGCACCAGCCTCCCAGAGTCCCCTGCTGCCCGATGCAGTGTCTGCAGAGCCAAACGCATCTTCCGCCACGCCTCATCCTCATCCGGCGCTGCATCCGACCCTTCAAGTCTCCTGCAGGAGCCTGCCCGGAGCAGGCTCAGCCAAAAGACCAACTCAAAACTCTTTTGTCAGAGCAAGCTTAGGGCGAGCCACCCATCCCGGGACGCCACAACCCTCCCAGAGCATCTGCGGCCCCGTGCCTCCCTGGCGTCTTCTGCACACTGGCAGAGTGCCTCCCATTATCTCCTTTGCTAAAAAGGAAAAGTGACCTTCCTCCAGGTGGCAAGCTGGTACTGGTAGCTTTAGAGGGTCCTACTGTTCACTCTCAGCAGGACTCGCCCAGCCCAGGGGGATCTGTGGATCTGGGTGGGCCAGGGGGACAGACAGAAATAGGACCGGCTTTGCTGGGTTTCCATCTCAGTGCGGGAGCCCTACCAGATAAGTCTTCTGGGTAGTCAGTCTGACTCTTTGCTGCAACTGCTCTTCTGGGCAGAGGGAGGAGGGGGCCCCAGGAGACATATGCTGGGGGGACAGCTGCTGATGGGGCAAGTGGCTTCGGGCAGGGCAGGAGAAGGGGTGGAGCCGTTCCCAGGGGCAGAGGGGAGAGTCTGCGGCCAGCCTTCCAGGGCCCCGGCCGGAGATGCGGCCCCAGGCTCGTGGGTGGGGGAGCAGGTGGGTCGGAGCGAGGTGAAGGGCAGAGCGCGGAGCCGCCGCCTCGGACCCGCGCCAGCCCCAGTGTGGGCGGGTGAGCAGCACGCCGGGCCTCGGCTCCAGCCCGGAGGTGGCGGGGCGAGCCATGCCGGCTGCAGCCTGGCCTCGGCTTTAGAAAGAGGGGTCCCAGCCTCCACTCCCGCCTCGGACCGGGGTGCAGGCGCCAGTTACAGCCCGGGGAGGACGGTTCATCCCCAACCCCGCCCTGGCCCTGACCCCGCTCCAGGGATGCGAAAGCGCCCGAGCAGCCCCGCTCGCTCCTACCTGCAGGCCGGGCACCAGCTTGGGCTCCTCTTCCTCCCTGGGGCCGTCATGCTCGGGCTCCGCGGGCGCCCCCGGGGGTCCAGCACCCGCTCCCGCTTCCAGGCTCGGCGGCGGCGGCGGGGGCTCGGGCGCCTGGGGCTTCGGGGGCCCCAGGACCCGCGCCCGCTCGCGCCGGCCCGCGCCACCGCTCGGCCTGCTCCGCCTCCGAGTCATTCCGCCGCTCGTGCCGCTACCCCGCTCCACTCCCGCCGCAGCCGCCTCCGCCGCCTCTCCCCTCACAGGACAACAGCCAATATGGCGGCGCCCGGCTCCCCTCCGTTCGCTGCCAGCAGGTCAGAGGGCATGTGGAGTCCGCGCCGCCGCATTAGCCCCTGAAGCCGCCTGCGCCATCTTGCTTAAGGTCACCACCCAGAGTTCCCGGGGAGAAAGAGCCTTGTGGGGAGACGCCCTACGCCTCCCGAGATCTTGGGAAGGGGAGCGGGTGTAGAAGTTGGAGAAATTGTGCTGTGCGTTAAGAGAAACCAAACCTGTTATCCGTTGAGTAGATTCCGACTAGTCCGATTCTGCAGGGAAGAGTTCCCTCTCACACAGGATTTCTTAGTCTGTGATCTTAAAGAGAGCGGATTTGTCACATCTTTCTCTTGGAGAGTGCCGAGGTTCTGACTGCCAACCTTTCGGTTAACAGCCAAGCTCTTAGAGACTTAACAATTCCCTGATGAATGAATGAGTGAATTAATGTAATGTGAACTATCGAAAGAACAAACAAATCTGTCTTGGAGCAAGTGCAGCCAGAAGTGCTCGTTAGAGGCAAGGAAGGGGAAAGGTTCTGTCACATATTTTGGGCACGTTGCCTGGAGGGTCTGGTCTTTGGAGAAGGACATTATATTGGGAAAGGTGAAGGGTCAGCGAAAGAGGAAGACCCTCCATGAGATGGTTTGACAGAGTGGCCGCAACAATGGGCTCAAGCACATCAGAAGTGGCAAGGATGGTGCAGGATAGGACAAGTTTCAGATTTGTTCACAAGGTCAATAAGTTATAGATAGTTGACACCATGGCATTTAACAACAACAACAATAGTACTTCGACATTCATCATTTGACTACCTCTTCCACAAAACAATGCCATGGGTGTGACTGCTCTCATTTTGTAGCAGAGAAAATGTTATATTCTGTCTAATAGGAACCAATTCATAGCTGACCTTCTAGCAGGTTTTCAGAGTATATCACATGGAGGTGGTTGCCCATCTTTCTCCCGTGGAGCAGTTGATGGATTGGATTGGAATGGCATGCCTTTGAGTTGGCAGCTGCAACTCCTTACTACTAAGTCGACAGAGAAAACTGTTGTTGTTAGATGCCGTCAAGTCGAGCATGATTCATAGCAAGCCTATGAACAAAAGATCTAAACCCTGTTGTACGCAGTGCTATCCTCACACTTCCTGACACAGAAGTGTTCATTACAACATTCACTGTGTCAAACCACCTGGTTGAGGTTCTTCCTCTCCTTCACCAACCCTCCACCCTTCCCAGTATCATATTATTCTCCAAGGAATAGCACCTCCTAGAAACATGTCCAGAGTGTGTGAGGTGAAGCCTTATCATTTTTGCCTCCAAAGAGCACTCTGGCTGCACCCTCTCCGAAACATATATGTTCGTTCTCTTTGCCATTTATTAGAGGTTCAGTGTTCTTCCACAACACCACAGATCAAAGGAGTCAATTCTTTTTCTGCCGTCCTTATTCATTGTCCAGCTCTTGGATGTATAGCTAGTAACTGGAAAGACTATGGCCTGACACACCTTAGCCTTCAAACTGACACCACCACTCCTCCATAGTTTGAAAAGGTCTCTAACTGCAGATTTTCCCAGTGCAATGCATCTCCTTATTTCCCAACTGCTGGTATGAATGGTGTCAATTGTGGATCCAAGCAAGATGAAGCCATTTCCATCTCCTCTCTATCCATCATGACACTGCATATCGGTCCAGTGGTAAGAATCTTTGTTTTCCTGACACTGAGATGTAATCCAGACCAAAGGCTGCATTCCTTGATCTTCTGCAACAAGTGCTTCAAGTCCTCCTCATTTTTAGCAAGGAAGGTTGTATCATCTGCATAATGCAGGTTATTGATGAGTCTCCCCCAATCCTCCAATCCTGATGCCATACTCCTCCTCATAGACTCCAGCTTTTTGGATAATTTGTTCATCATACAGATTGAATAGGTATGGAGAAAGAATTCAACCCTGATGCTCTCCTTTCCCAATGCTAAACAATGCAGTGCTCTCCTGCACTGTTTGCACAACAGCCTCCTGATCAAGGTATAGGTTCCTCAACAGCACAATCAACTGTTCTGGGATTCCCATTCTTGCGAATGCCAGCTCCAACTTGTCATGATCTGCACAGTGAAGCGCTTTTGCATAGTCAATAAAGCACAAATAGACATTCTTCCGGTATTCCTTACTTTCAGCCAGGATCCATCTGACATCAGCAATCATATCCCTCGTGCCGCAAACTCTTTTAAATCCTGCTTAGACTTCTGGCAGTTCCTTATTTATATACTGATCCAGTAATTTTTGAATGAAAAACAGTATTTTGCTTGCATGTGATATCAATGATATTGTTCTATAATTTCCACATTCAGTTGGCTCACCTTTCTTGGTAATGGGAACAAATATGGCCCTCTTCCAATCTGTCCTTCAAATTTTCTGGCATTGACTGGTGAGTGCATCTGTTAACTGAAATACAATTAGTATACCATAGATTCCTGGGACCTTCTTTTTTGCCAATGCCTTTAATGCAGCTTCTACTTCCTCCTTCATTACCATTGGCTCCTGTTCATATGCTACTTCCTGAAATTTTTCAGTGGCAATTAATTCTTTCTGGTACAGTGACTATGTATTCCCTCCATCTTCTTTCGATGCTTTCTGGGTCATTCAATATATTGTCCATAACATCTTTCTTTTTTTTTTTTTTCTTTCAGGTTTTAAAACTTTATTTGCATATTTAAAAAATTGTGCATTCCAATAATTAAAATCATTTGAACAAAAAAAAAATGGCACTCCGATTAAACTGCATTTTATGCCGCAAGACACCTTGGACAACCTTTGCTTTTAACCCTACATTTTATTCACTGTCGTCCCACCCAGCTCCTTCTTTCACCAACATGCAAGGTCTTTTCCTTCCCTGCCAGCCATGCAGGCTGATGGGAGCGGCAGGGGCCGCCTTCAGTTGTCAGTAGTTCTAGATTCTTGGATGTGAAAGGGGGCAGCACAGTCATTTAAACTTGATCCAACCTCTTTGCATCTTACAAAGTTAAACAGCTAAAAGAAGGAAAATAAGAAGGCAATGCTTGTGGAATGTACAGTGCAGATTGGGGGCGCAGCCTCATTACGATTCGCCCGCTTGCTTCTCTTGTTCGATCGTTTCTTTTGAAAGCAGTGGGTTTTTCTCTTGCGTCTCTGTCTTCTTCAGTTTCGACTTATCGAATTTCTCAATCTCAGCCATATCGGGTTTGTCAGACATGGTTGCGGATTGAAGCGAGGAGAGGCGTGAGAGAAGGATGAGGTTCGTCCGCGCTGTGCTGCGACCGCCAAGTGCCAGCATCTTTCAATATGGTAACATTAGGCTTAAATTTGTTTTTCGGTTCTTTCAGCTTGAGAAATGCAGAACGAGTTTTTCTCTTTCTGTTCTCCAATTCTAGCTCTCTACACATTCCGTGATAATACTTTGCTTTGTCCTCTTGAGCTGTCCTTTGAAATTGTCTGTTCAGCCCTTTCACGTCAACATGTTTTCCTTTAGTTTTGGCTTCTCAACACTCCAGTGCAATCTTTAGAGTCTACTTCCAACATTCATTTTGATTTTTTGTTTCTGCTTTGTTTTTGTAATGACCTTTTGCCTTCTTCATGGATGATATCTTGATATCATCCTATAACTCATCAGGTAGTTGATCAAGTGTAAGCTGATTAGCTGTTTCTAATATTGTTTACAATCAGCTGTAGGTGGAAAGCCTCTTGTTTAGGCAAACAGGATCTTGTGGGTGGGCCTTTGTAATTTAAAAGCTGGTTGGGCCTTTAGGCCTGGGCCCCTCTGGCCTAGTATTAATTGTGTTTGGAGAGAACATTGTTCTAAGTGGTGTAGCACTTGTCTGTCAGTTTGCTATACTGAAATAACTCGGGGATACTGAAATCTTTATCACTGGTGTGTCAAATGCCATAAGAGTTCCCCATCTTGGACAAGTTTTGGTAGAATTCACAAATTAAGACAGACTAAGAAGCAGGACGGGCCATCTATTTCCTGAACAACAGGCTTTTGAAAACCCTATGAACACTAAAGAAAGAGGATAGTTATAGTAGTGTATTGATAGAGCCCAGATTGGAAGTAATTTGAAATGAGGAAAGTAAAAACTAAATATTGTTTAACAATTGGAACATAGAATGTGTGTAGCTTGAATGTTGAAAAATTGGAAATTGATCAACATCTTAGGCATTAGTGAGATGAGATGGACCAGCTTTGGCCACTTTGAATCAGATAATCATATGGTATACTATGCAGGGAATGAAAAACAGGAAGAATGATGCTGCATTCATAGTCAAAAAGTCAGTCTCAAGTTCTATCTTGAAATACAATGTTTTGAGTGATAGGATAATATCCATATGCATACAAGGAAGACTCATCTATTATTCAAATATATGCTCCTACAGCTAGAGCCAAAAAGGAAGAAATTGAAAATTTTACCAAATTTTGCAGTCTGAAATTGACTGAACATGGAATCAGGATACATTAATGATAATTGGTGACTGAAATGTAAAACTAGGAAAGAGTGAAGAAGGAACAGTAGTTGGAGAATATGGGCTTGGTGATAGAAATGAAGCTGGGAATAGAATGACTGAATTTTGTATTTAAAATTAATTGCAAATACCTTTTTTTTTTTTAAAAGTTAAAAATTCCTTAATTTTTTATTCCTGGTACCACTACCACAATTTACAGGGCAATATACCTGATGTAATGAAAAGAAAAAGAAAAAAGACAATGCTACAACAGATAAAAGACCTCAGGAATGTACATCTAATTGACACTACATTGCATTAATCAATAGCTGCACTTTTTGCAAACTGTGGCTATGACA